TTTCTTTCTTCTAGATCAATTAATACGTAAGATGATTCAATAAACAATAACATATCCTAACGAATGATGTTTTTGTCCTTATTAGGTAGATTAGAATGCAAGGGGAGAAAAGAGTGTTGTACTCATGCTGTGTATCTAGCTGAGATAAAATGATCGAAAATGTTTGTATTGTCCCTCTGTTCTGTCCTTCTTTGGATCGATTATTTTCATCTGATCATCGTTTAGTTATAATTAGGGGTAGCGGGTAGAGGTCAAAGCAGGAGATGATATTTTCAAAATCAAGAGAAAAGTTTGAGCAAACGCAAAACAGTTCGAAGCAGTCAAAGTTAAGTACAAGAAGTACTAAACAGTTTTTTGGGTTAAGAAAATCATAGATGACTACCCATATCGATTGGTCTTTATATAATAGTTGAGCATTTAGACAAGTTTACAAAGTCTTAGAGAAGTGGAAACTATTTGATGGAAAATGAAGTTATCAGTGGCCAGCCACAAATAAAAATATAGCATAGATTTCTTTTATTTCACGTGAAAAGCATGAAGAAAACGGTGTTTTGGTACTGAAAAGAATGTCACTTTTGAAGTTTTTTGCTTTCGTCAATGAAAAGCGACATAGTCATGCAGAATATTCTATTTATTTAATTTATAATCAAAAGAAAGGTATGATGCTGTTGGAAATAATCTTTTTCATAAATAAGATCGTAAGTCTCAAAAGATAACTTACATTGCATTATTAAAATCATGTTTATTTTATTCTTCAAGTCACTCGACCAGCGTAGGATACTAAAACTAATATGTTAATGCCCAGCTCTTCCTAAGAGAAACAATTTCAATTTAAACTCATAAAATATTTTTCGATCTAGCTTTCTCAAGCAAGAGGATTATGCTCGCGACTATCTCTAATCGAATTCGATTATAATCAGAATCAATCAGACGTTATTGACCTACAACATAGAGTTTTTTGAGTCAAATTCAAACTCATTTAGGTATCTACAACGTCCGAAATTTTCAGCACAATCTAGGTTGTAGTTAGGAAGTCACTTCTGCCTTTGAGCGAACGGACTTTTAACTACTCTTGAATTTATTGATAATCAACAAAAGTAATTAGGTCTCGCTTCACTGTCTGAGAAAATTAAGTCATTAATAGTAAATTTTGTTGTGAAAAAATTCAATGCTTTCGAAGAAACTATCTCTTTGTTTAAAATGATATCAACTTTCGATAATTTCTATTGTTCTTGCATTAAGAAATTAACTGCATGGGGTTAAATATTTACAAATATAAGAAATTATAATCCGATTCTTTCAAGGTTGAATAGAAAGTCCGCAAAGTCCTTCAGCTGCGTGAAGGAAAGACTACAATTGTTGATTGGAAATAAGAGAATTGTGAGATGTACATCTGTAAAATGCATGAAAGGCTCGTTAGCAGAGGCCCTTGAGGCAAAAGTTTAGAACTTACATATATCCTTAAACCTTACTTAAATTATAAATATAGACTACAGTAAAAATATTCTCGTAGAGTAATTATTTTTATAAATAATTGCCGACGATGACCATACTATATTACTTATTTCTGAAATTAGTGCAGAAAATTTCTTTTTTTTTGTACCAGCTCCCACAATTGCATTAAAAATTGTTTCTGCAGATTTGGTGTCTATCTTTCTTATGTTTGTTATTGAATTTAACATTAATATTTTTCTAACTAGTGGTCTATCTCACAAATATGACTATGGCACTTAGAAACTACTTATCCATCTATGACGCTTCACGCAGTATTATACATCTCAACCAATTTTTAAATGATGATATTCTCTATTTTTAAAATTGTGAAGATCGTTTTAGGATTTTTATATTGAATCCTATGACTACTATGAAAGATCCATCAATCACTACTCTTCACTCCTGATTTTTATATTTTGAGATTTGCCTTTTGAGTTAAAATTTCACTCCCAACTCGTTCCCTGCACTATCGAAAATGTTGACGAATATATTAAAGTTGTTGAAATGTTGTAAGGAGTTGAAATGAGTATTCTTTATATACTTTAATGTGTTTTTCATAACAAGTCAACGCAAGATCTCTTATGGGTAGCTATCTAAGTCTGTAGTGGTGCAATTCGTTGGTTGCTAGAGTTTTTAATGGTTAGATACTGCTCATCTATACTATTATACACGCAAAGATCGATAAAATGGCAGTCTAATTAGTGTAAAATCTCAATGAACTAATTACTAATTCCTGTAACTCATAATTAGTATAGGACAAACTAATGAATGTCTATGATGGGCAAGGAGTGCGGACGTGGCAAAAGTCTCGCTTTTTAACTTACACTCCTCATTTTCGAAGGAACTATACGTGAGTACCAAACAATTGATTTATTCCAACCTTCCTCAACATTAAATACAGTATATCAAGATCATTCGTGAAAATCAAAGACAGTGCAAAACAAAGTCATCGATTTCAGAAAAATCTGACAACGAAATGCTGCTAAATTGGGAGAACATCAGAAAAAATGTCTTTAAGCTTGAAAGGAAATGAAAGTGAGATTATTGCGAGTCGACAAAGTAGAAAGCAAAACTTGTCAAAACACTAGGAAACCCTTTCTAAAATACAACTCTCTTGTGAGCCAAACTCAGGGAATAAGGCTAAGTTTGAGTGAGTTAAGTTGAGTTTATGTGAGTTAAACTCAGCCAAACTCACTTTAACTCAGCCAAACTCATTTTAAATCACAAACTCACAACTCGTCGATTCCCCCTTGCACGATATGCACAACGGCAGAGAACCTTTCAGTAGATGGTTAGCGACGTTTGCATCGCGTTACTTGTATCGTTACTAGCGAGAGCCCATGCATACTGTACAGCTGTTTGTTTTTCCTCTAACGTATGACGACGGACGTTTAACTTTTCATCCGGTAATGGACATACAGACACTCGATATTATGCATACGGATAGGTAGTCCTACGGCCTCATACTCTTACATCGTATATATTTTTATAGTTCATTAGCCTTCGGCCTTATATCCTTATATCCCTGGTAGCTCTTGTAGCATTATCCCCTTATTGCCTTCCCCTCTTCTTGCCATACTCCCTTCAGAACCTATGGGTATCCCTATATAATATATAATAGCTCTTGAGGATCTATGGATATCCCCATATAATAGATTCTGAGAGCCAATGGGTACCTCCATAGGATAGCCCTTGAGTCTTCTCCTTATAGCCTTATTTGACCTTTAATCTTGGACCCTGCACAGACACACACACACTGAACATTATATATATAGATGATTAAATGTAAACACTTTTTATTCGTTGATAGTATTGTACGATCGACAAAATGATACTTCCAAAAATTTGAATCATAACTTCATTCAATAAAAGTATAATGACTGCAGTAAAATTTTTGACTATATGAATGAATTCAACACGTATCATTGCTGATTACACGATAGGACGGTTCTATCATCTTACTGTTTTATTATGCGTCGTTCTATATTTTATAGACTTAATTTTTTTTCATTATATAGAACAACTATACAATCAAAAAACTTACTTTCTCTTCTGTTTTTTTTTTATTATTAAAAATGTCTGATACGTATTTTAAAGCTTTACTTTCTGTTGGTCACAACAATTCTTCTTTGTAGAGTGATTGCAGAATATAAAAAAAGTATGAGAATCGAAAAAGATAGGAAAATTTTTTGTAGTAAATTTCAATGAGTATCTATTTCACGAAAAGAATGTTTTTTTTATTGTTTCATCTTTGGAATATCAAGTCTTCTAAGTCAATAATCTAGAACAACTGAATAAAATTCCAATTTTTCGAAACAAATTGTTCTCTACTTACAGCCAATAGAGATCTTTTCGATTTTCTGTGTTATATAAGCCGATAAATAAGTTCAATAGTGAGTTACATATGAAGTGTCGATGAAAAAAAATATCCATATCCAATATCAAATATTAATATAGGAGACAAAGACTAACCTCGGATACGAATATTCTATAGTAGATTACTCTTCCCAAAGGTTTTTAATGAATAGTCAATGTTATTTCTACGGTTGTAGTTTATTCTACTTCCTAATTGGCTTAGAAAAACGGATAGAGAATTGCATTTAAAGATGCTTTCTTCGAAATAACTCTTACTTTCAGAAAAAGAAAATTAATAATGCTAAAATTGATAGTACGTTCTAATGCTCCATAATAATTTAACTTATATCAAATTCTACTGTATAGGTGTGACTATGTTTGCCTATTTCACACACAACGTCCTCTAATGCTAATTTCTCATTGGATTAGAGCATATTACATACCTATTGACTTGAAAAAAGCTATTTTCAGCAACATAACCCTTTCCTTTAGAAAAGAAAATTAATGGTCTCTATAAACGCTTAAAAATCATTATACATAGTAGCTGCATTAGAAAAATTCACAATCAATTCAGACAGTAAATAATAACTACGTCTCTCATAAGATTGATTCAATGTTGATGTTAGTTTTAGTCCATGATGGTAGTAATGTTAGTATTCATCGCGAAAAGCCAGTGATGTAGAACCTCTTCGCTATTTACCTTCGAGCGTGTTTCTCTTCCGACTCACATGTGTTTATCTCTATACCTAGTAAACAAGCTCGATATTTTCTATTATTTCAATTCCCGTGTACTAATACATCGTCAATCGGCTTCAACTCAACTTGACATCATTGAAGAACAAATTACTTCGTTTATGAGAACTGTGATCATTCAAAATTAACAAGAAATTGTTATATTAACTGGAATCAGATAATTCGACAGCTAACAAGGTTAATACTGAAGGTTTTCGTTCAAAATTTTGCCAATATTACTATCGATCATATAATTGTCAAGTTAGTGTTCATCTTTCATCTCTCTTCATTTATGATCAAACATTTCTTTTAAAAAATACTCTCATTGTTCGAGTTCTTTTATTCTTGCATAAAATAAAGAAAAATAAATCATAGGAAGTAATGTCTATATATATGTTTATCGATGAATAAATAATCGTTCAAGAGATTGTACATGTGTTGAGTAATTCACGCATTGCTTTTTGTTGTCGTTCACGTTGATATATAGCTGTTAATTGAGCCATCGGTTGTGTATAGTATTTATTCAACCATTGTGGTCGATAAGCCATAATTTTCTTTACTCGTCTTGTTCGACCAGCAACAACAATCGAGTTAACTACCATTAAACTTCGTTGTACTTCACCTAAATCGTATATTCGATTGAGTGATGTACCACACATCTTTCCATCTCGATCTTCAAGCATTACTTTATCAATGAAAATATCAGGATCAAGAGTAGCACAGAAGACAAATAAGAGACGAATATCAGTATCAGTTAAATCATCGTAATTTCTATAATCACGAAGACGATTGAGATCGGATTCATCATATTCGATCAATGTACACATGCAATCCAAATAGTACATAAGTTTTGCTATGCTATTATCAGGCACTTTAACTCGCTGACTTGAACGAGCGATATCATATGTATTTAAATTGAAAAAAGCCATGGTAGTTACAATAATAACAAGGTTTGATTTTGTGTTATTATCACTGGGCATTATTTTTCTATTTATACTCGGTAGAAGCGATTCTTGTTGGAATTTACCAAGTGAAAGATAAATAAAGGTACACTTCGTTTGTTTTTGTCATTATGGCGTAATCTAATTAACTAAGTCAGTCATTTTTTTCTCATCAATGATACATTAAATAATATCTACCTGGCAAACGTCGATTTATTTTTTTTTCCAACCTTCCAACATGATAAGAATATAATCTTGAACAGTTACGAAAAGTTGGAATTTTCATAAAAATACAAAATAGCACTGTGACAAAAATTAATGTAGGAAGGTAGTGAAACTATCGTGTGTATCAACATCGTTCTGTGATAAACATTACAAATTTCTGTGGAATTAACAACTGCACTTGTACACGATGATTTTGAATAATTTTGAATTGGAACAAAAATGTCGATTGTATGTCACCGTTATTTCTCAAGATACTTAGTGGATTAAGAGCTAGCATTCATAAATTTAAAGTGAAGTCTATGATGCACAAACAACCAAACTTATCTGTGTGCTACATTCAAGAATAGTCTAGAACATAGATCGTCTTTAGAAGCTCAAATGATGAAGTTAACATGTTCGGTAATCTTACATGTGCAATCTTATTATGGAAGAAAGTGTCACCTTAATATACCTATCCGAAAAACTTTCAATGGCACTTACGAAAGTATTTAACCCGAATGTACATCGCAATGTTGCTCTTCTCGAAACTTTCAATACGCCTAAAATGGCCTGAAAACATATATAGTCTCTCTATTTACCAGAATACCTGATTCAGGTGTACGTGTATGAATGAATAAATAGCAAACTGACGTACTTCTTTTGATGATATCATTCGGACTGTAACCATCTTGGAGACCTAATGAATTTCTACTATAATATAATAAATGAATTTCGAATTCGAATTATTTGTCGCAAATAGTCGATCAATGTCAATGGCATCGATGCTTTTCTTTATGTTAGTTGAATAGAAATTATATTTTTGTATGTATAACAACTTTTTTCTAACTGTCCAAATAAAATCAATCGAAAAAGACTGAACTGAAGAGATATTTAAGTGAAAAAATGAACAGAACTAATAAAGGATATCAACACAAGTTTATCATTGAATCTTTCTATGAATTATTTTCTATTTTCTTTGTTATTGATTTATTCATAGCCTTTGTTTTGAAATGACAAATGTTAGTTTCGAAATTTTCTGCCAAAGCAAGTCACTTCGTTTATCGGCGTAGTGATCACTCAAAATCAACAAGAAATATTCATCTTAACTGTAATCGGATAATTCGAGAAATCACAAGGTTAATACTGAAGATTTTCGTTCAAAATTCTGTCAATATTACTATCGATCATATCTATTGTCAAGTTAGTCTTCATCTATGATCAAACATTTCTTTTAAAAAATACTCTTATTTGTTCGAGTTCTTTTATTCTTGCATAAAATAAAGAAAAATAAATCATAGGAAGAAATGTCTATATATATGTTTATCAATGAATAAATAATCGTTCAAGAGATAGTACATGTGTTGAATAATTCACGTATTGCTTTTTGTTGTCGTTCACGTTGAAATATAGCTGTTAATTGAGCCATCGGTTGTGTATAGTATTTATTCAACCATTGTGGTCGATAAGCCATAATTTTCTTTACTCGTCTTGTTCGACCAGCAACAACAATTGAGTTAACTACCATAAAACTTCGTTGTACTTCACCTAAATCGTATATTCGATTGAGTGATGAACCACACATCTTTCCATCTCGATCTTCAATCATTACTTTATCAATAAAAATATCAGGATCAAGAGTAGCACAGAAGACAAATAAGAGACGAATATCAGTATCAGTTAAATCATCGTAATTTCTAAAATCACGAAGAGTATTGAGATTGGATTCATCATATTCGATCAATGTACACATGCAATCCAAATAGTACATAAGTTTTGCTATGCTATTATCGGGCACATTAACTTGCCGACTTGAACGAGCGATGTCATATGTATTTAAATTGAAAAAAGCCATAGTAGTCACAATAATAACAAGATTTGATTTTATGTTATTATCACTGGGCATTATTTTTCTATTTATACTCGATAGAAACGATTCTTGTTGGAATTTACCAGGTGAAAGATAAATAAAGACACGCCCCATTAGTTTTTGTAATTATGATGCAATACTATTCAGTGAGTCAGTTCCTTAATTCATCATCGAAAGCGTAAACAAAACATAGATGATCAAATATTAATAAACTAATTTATCTTAAAACTTTCTTGTAAGTAGAAAAAGAAAATCATTGATACTTAGAATCTATAGCGAAATACATATATTCTTTTCATCACAAGAAGTGTGTAAGACATCAAATTGAAATAATTATATCTCGTCATAGAAGAGAGCTAGAAGATTACAAGCAATATTTCAGATTTGCTTTGAAGTCTATTAGAAATAATTTATTATTGGTGATGAATATTGTCCGGATATATATATGGAATCAATTATATCTTAAATAAATGGTAAATAAATATATAATTAATTTATTGCGATGCAAATTATTTGACAAAAATATAAATAACATCAGGCTTATCTTCCTAAAAGTTATATATAGAATATAACTTATTTTTTACTATTAGTAATCAGTCATTTTGAAAAACATGTGTCGTCATTTTTAAATGATGAAATTATACAGAGAACGTCATTCTTGAATTAATTATTCTTTAAAGAAAATAAAGTTTTATCAATGTTTATAAAGTTCAACTAGATAATAGATTCTATTCAATATTTAGTCATAAATCTATTTTAACAGTTTCAAATCAATTATATAAATTTTGGTCTTTCTTTTCAAAAGATCAATTACTTGATACTTTACTCATGTTCAGCATATAAAGGATAGTCAACTTTTTAGTTTATAACTAATTACTTGATCAACATTTTTAAATTTAAAATTTTTTATTTCATATGTTATAGATATGTAGATTATTTGTATATGAATATTATTTTTCACTAGAAATTTTTAATGCATTACAAGTGTATTCTATCAATACTTTTTAAATTTTAGTTATGAATATTGTAATGATGGATAAATTCACAATATAAAACATTTCAGTAATAATTCAATAACACCAAGGTTTTCGAAGTACTAGAGAATATGAAAAGAGTAACTTTAATACTTAATTTTGATGAAATTAAGATAAATTTTTTCTACCAGTTTTTCTATTGTATTTAGGTCATTATGATTAGAAAGTAAACATGTTTTTCTCGTTAGTATTATTCATTCGATCGATAAAATTATGTTTTTTTTATTAGACAATTCTGTAGTTCTACTGTCCTGTCTGAAGATGTGCAGAATTAAATATCTTTTACTTCTGGTCCTAATGATGTATTTTCCATGATTTTCGATTCCGTTGATTTTAATTTTTCAGATACTGGCTGAGTAATTCTAGCTATGGTTGAAAGCAAAAATGAAGTATGAAGTATGAGGCATTTCTATTAGATCTAAAATATTCTGTTGTTGTTGAATATAAATTTTTATTGATCTACTCTTCTAAATTTTGTTTTTAACTCTATGTTTATAAAATAGTTCACCCAAAACCATAGAACATTTAACTACCATCTTTAGTTTTAGAAGGATAACTACTATATCAAAGTACTCATTTATGGTACTGTTTTTGATTATTATTATTATTATTCAGAATAACTGACACGTATCAGTCGTTAACATTAAGATGAGGGAAAAAATGCTCATGAAGGTCTATTAAATGACGTATACGATGTTTCTTAATGTGTATAAGAGTATATATGCTATTTATTTTTAATTTCAAGTGACGTCGACATATCTATATCATGAATGTATGAATTTGGAGAAACAAAGAAACATTGATAGAATTAATTATTTATAAATGCGACTTCTTCATTTTATAAACCATATTCACAATATAAGTGTAAATACAATAAAATATTCAATTATAAATTTTTCTTTAGCATTGAACTAATGCGTAAAAGTTCCTATGGATTGACAGTAATGTTATACTGATATTCTTATGTTAAACTTTAAAATTTAGTTAATAATACCATATAACTTTTGACAAAATACACTATAGACTTCCAATTCATGTAGATCAAAATAAACTGATTTTCTCTCTTTCATTTCTTATAATACTTAAATGATTTTCGGTCAGTTATTTAAATATCATATCTGATAAATATAATTGTGAACAAGTTTTGAATTCTTTTTCAGTCAATAATTGTATACCATGTAATGATTAATAAATAAATGAATAGAATCATTGCACGGATTTTGTTCTATATTTTTATCGTTATTTAGATATATCTCAATATAATTCATCGTTTCTTTTTCATTCATATACAATTTTATCTACTCAGAAGTGGGTGTCTGTGAGTCGAGTTATGGATACCAGTGTGAGTACGAGTATGAATATAGATGTCAGTGAAGAGATGACGCAGATCCACAGCAACAGTCACAACGAAACCTACTTATCGAGTAGATTTTCTTTACTCGGACAATCCTTATGTTATGTCCTTTAAATTTTTGTTCAAGCGGGGTCATTTAATATGGTGGCCGTTCTACATGAGGACGATTTTATGAATTGGCTTCGCTCAAAACTTTGTCTTGCAAAGTTATAGTTCCTTCTCTGCAATTTTACTCTGCCATGTGCGCTCATTGAAATTTTTTAGAATTTTATAAACATATTTCATACAGTTACATAATTAATACAAACACAAGCTTGCAAAAAGGCATCAGACTATATGCTTTGTCACATTTAAGGAATCATTTCAAAGACTCAACTTTTTTTGGCATATTTCATGTTCGAATGATTTTGGCTTAACGTGTAATCGGTAGACGAAATGATACTCTACGTATTGGAGTAAATTTTCTTGTAAAATGACGTCGGTCTACAAGTTAACACTCATTTTGGTCCCTTATATCTATCGTTTTTAGATCTCTGAGGATTTTGCAAAACTAAAGTTGTAGTATATTTCTAATTTCTGTAGTGATTAATCAAATTATTCTCTTACATTTGACTATTATAAAAGAATGACTCGAACATCAACGAAATTTCATGGTTTTAAGATGAGACCGAATGAAGAATGGAAAAAAAAGAAGCCTTTGGTTCTATCAAAAACTGTTGTCTAGAAAATTTGGCTATATGCGTTCAATGAAATGCATTTGATGATAAATAAATTTATAATTCTTTTCAAGTGCATTGAACTCGTGAGAATATAACATGCCATTTAATTGTGACCCAGAAATATCCGTTCATGTCCTCATCATTGTTCCTTGAAGGTAAGAATGATGACTAGGTTTATATTACGAGCTATTGTCAGCTGCATTATGATCGACTTGTTTTGTCTCACTTTGAGTAATTTCATCAGTATTACTCTTCTCGGGTCCAAGTAAAATTATAATCAGTAGATAGCAGTAGGTACTAGCTAAGAAGATACCCATGACTTTACCATAGTCGTATTGGTGCTTATTAGTGGTATTACCAGATGTTTGTAATGGAAAATGCTGTCCAGCAGTCGCTTCGATAGTCGATGAGGCTGATGAGATGAGGTTGCCTAATTGATAAGAAGTACCGACTACGAACGAGCGAAATTGTAGCGGTGCCAGTTCCATAAGATGAACAGGCACAACGCCCCAAGCACCTTGCACACACATTTGCTGAAAAAATGCGCCAGCCATAATGAACATGTTATGTGGAAGTAGATAGGCTGGAATGAGAGCAGCACCAACGATAAGAACAACGATGATTGACAATCGCCGACCGAAGAAACTTGAAAAGTATCCAATCAGCGTGCCACCAAAGAGAGCACCACAGTTACCTACAACTATGGTGATAGTGACGAGCCTGTGCGAGAACATAAGCTGAGAAGCGAGAAATGTCGGATACAAGTCTTGACTACCATGTGATAAAAAGTTGAAACCAGCCATCATTAATACAAGATATGTGAAAATTGGCCAATGCTGAGCCAGCACAGGACGAATAGAGCCAAGGAATGCGCTCACTGCGGATACTTGATGATCAGCTATAATGAGAAATTTCAGCATATCATCGGAGTTTTAAGTTCTAGCTAAATTTACCTGTAGCTGCATTCGTTTTGCGTGCCTCTTTGACAGAGAGAAATGTTCGTGTCTCGGGTAAGAAGATGCGCCAAATTGCAATCAGCAATGGAGGACAACCTCCAAACCAAAATAGGGCTCGCCATCCATACTTTTGATTATTCGTAATTGCCAGATTCAAGGCAGCGGCAAGTAAATAGCCAAGTGCATAGCCCTGTTGTAACAAGCCTGATAGAAGGCCACGTGTAGCGATCGGAGCATCTTCAAGCGCTGTAGCAGCACAATTACCATAGATACCGCCCATAGCTATTCCGAAAAGAGCACGAACACCAATAAATTGTGCGTATGTACTACAGAAGCCTGTGCAAATTTCGACTATGGCATAAAAAACAATATTTACGATGAATGGCCATTTACGTCCGAATCGATCACCGGCGATTCCAAAAATAATGGCGCCTATAGAACGAAACATTAATGTCACTGTAATGCCCCAAGTAATGTCTGATGGTAATTTATTATATGTAGTTGCAATTTCGATGACAGTAAGAGTAACAGAGAAGAAATCAAAAGCATCAAATGTCCATGCAAGCAGAGCGACGAGAAAAAAGGCAATCTGTTGACGATTGAGCATACGAAGAAGAGTAATGGGATTTTCTGGTACGATCAAAGGAGGAACAAGGCTTGTGAATCGACTAATAAGATATTTCAAAATAATCATAGCTGTCAAAAAAAGTTTCACGCTGAAGCTATTTTTGAGTTGATGTAAGGATGATATCTATAACGAATAGAAAGATCGTTCTGTTTCGATCAAAACATGGGCTAACTCAAGCATGAATATCAGTTGATGACATCGTCCAATTTCGATTGATGCATTGACTAATGCAAGCATGAATATCTGTCCATTACATCTCACCATTTTTTTCACATTAGTGAGAAAATTATCAAAACTATAGAAATATCATTTTCCAATTAGTTAAAAATTAATTTAAGTTTGACAATAAACATAAACTATCATGATTTATATTTGTTCTAAATATACATGATACAAAATTTAATTTGTTTAAAATATATAATTTTATTTAACTTGTAATTTATTAACTTCAAGTAAGTTGTATTTATTTTTAAATTTTATTAATGAAAAAAATAATTTAAATTTGTTTTAAGTTAATAGAAAAACGATACCCCTATCTGTCTATTACATCTTTCCGTTTTGTGTCATTTAAATGAGACAATTATCAAAACAACATCTTCGTCTTTTTTTGCAACACATGTTTGATTTTCATTGCTTCTTTCTGTCTATACAAAAAGAATATGACACAGGAACAAGAATACTTTAAACTTGTATAACCGCGGCAAAATGATCAGAGTTTCTCAATGGTATATTCAGATTTCACTCAACACTCGACGATATCCCACTAGCGCTTTATCGAAGATTGGGTAGTTATGAGCGATTCACTTTTTCATTGGGTAATTACTACTTCAATGTGTCTTGTTTGCTGTATGTACTAGACTAATTAGAATTTCGTCACTTCTATTCTCTCTTTGTTGTCTTTTAAAACAACTCTTATCTATTAGACGATTGTAAAAAACTGAACTTATGTATCCTAGACGTTAATTGAACTTTCTGAATTGTGAGAACATAAAAAGACAACTTAAAGGAATGATTTCTGCAAGGTTTGAATATTCCAAGATGAAACTGTCGATGAAAACTGTATAGATATTTCAGGCATAGTTGATTGCCGGAACAAAAGCAAATAAAATTTTTCGCTAGCGAGAAGAAAGTTCGTTTCAAAATCATTATATATTTTGGAACTATTATTCAGCGAACATTTTTTCCAAGCAAGAAAAATCTTCACTTCCATGATGAAAGAATGATTATGCTAGTTACTATATGTGGCTGGGTCATTGAGACCTGTGAGGTTCAAGCTTCACCAAGACCTCGACATGACATCGTGAAAACTTGTGATTCATAGGTTTTGGGGAGACCACTCTTCCGATCTTAGGAAGTCCATATTTGTTCTAAATCTTGGGATTTTCTTTTATTCGATAGTCTGAGACCAGAATGAGCACTGTAAGAATGTATATTTCCCTTTCTAGTAAGTCAACTACCATATATGTAATACTTGAAACTTGAATTCAAGTATTCAACTATTCAAGTTTTCAACAATTCAAATTTTCACGTGTCCAGTATTCTGCGGATATTCAGTGAGGAGGCACTTTCCTCATCTAGCACACCTTTTATTTCAGAGTCGCGACCCATGTACGTCTTTGTGTACACCTTTATTCCTATTCAGTGCTGCAGGGTAGCTCAAGCTTCTCACATACTTCTTGTAGCATTCCAGATAATATCTGAAGCATTTCAACCAAAACGTGTAACATCCCTGAGGATGCTTGTAATATCCTACGTAATACTGACAGCATTCTAGAGAACTCTGTAGCATTCCAGACAATACTTGTCGATATTAAGTGATTCTGGTAGCATTTTAGGCGTTGACTGATTGAACACTTGAATAGTTGAATACTTGAACTCAACTTTCAAGTTTAACACTAATGAGACATTTTCCTTACTAGGCCATTTGTCACAATTATAATGTATTTTAACTTCTTCGTTAAATAGTTTATGTTTGCAGGTTTTTCACTGTGTTCGTCCAATGCATCAGGTAACAGTTGAACTCAAATTTAGTTAGAAAATAGGTGATGATAACGGCAGTGTATACCTTCATTTTTTCGTCATTTGTCATGTGTGCAGATTTAAATAAGAGTTGCATTCTCTCTTTTCACAAAAGTCATTACTATTGATTTTGAAGCAGTCAATTCAGTTTTGATGTGAATTGATTAGCAACCGTGTCTTCCATGCGATGAGAAAATATCGAAACCAGCGGTTAACTCCGGTTTTTATATTCAATGTTTTTCAACATATAACTACACGAACATTTTTAAACTGGGGAAAAAAATGTTAGATCGGATTATTTATTAAAAAAGGGCACCACAAAAATAGTCATTCGTTAGAAGATGTAATCAATAGAAGAAAAACTATGGCTCTATCTAAGATAATATGCTGTAGCATATTACAATCGATCTTTCCAAGACGGAAAATATCAAGATTATAGATAAATTTAAAAAAAACTTGATAGAAAAATGAGTACACCAGTCGAACGGTTAGTTTTGATACAAAATTGACAGCATATAATAATAATGATAGATGATACCATCAATTTTCAATAAAGTTAGGCGAAAGAAATAGATGAAGAAAATTTAATCTGTTCATTTGTTTTTTGATCAAACACTCATTTTTGAAACACGATATTCAACAAGCTTTATCACTTGTTTTGGATCTTTATTTGTGCAAAATGAACATGAATGACTTCAGTTACCCAACCGTGAAAATTAAGAATGATTGTCTTTAATGTAAATCTTCTAATTTATTTAGAAATGCTTATAATCATCTTTCTTCTCTATGTGTATTTTGACACTTTTTATGAAATTACAATTCATTTGATAATGAGAAAAGTAATATTGAAAGAAAAGACAAAAGAAGTCTATCAAAATTAACAAGATATTTTTTGATACTATTAAAGATTGTGAAGATCTGATAGTACATCTCATACAAATATACAAGCAGCAAGAATAAGAAATGAATATGAGTCGATTAATCTTGACAAGTTTGGAAACTAGAATTTTTTTTCTTGATTTCTGCTTTAGTTGAGATAATGTGTATTCATATCATATTTCTGTTATATACCTAATTAAACAATGAGTTGAAAAAGATCACATTTTGTATAGGCAAAATATTTAGAACTGGTATATTTTTACAGATATCGATTGTTTTATATATAGTTTCAAACTTAGACAAACTGTCATAAAGAAATGATATAAAAATGTATTTATCATTGATCTGACTAACAATAAAAAAAAAATTAATTTTTCATGGACAAAAAAAAAACACCATGTATAATTTGCCAATATTTATCACATTATATTAGTCGTTGTTATCTTTTGCGAATACTCTTTAGAAAAAAAAAAAAAAGAAAGTTATTGAAAAATAAAATTATAAATTATTTTATTTACTGTCTTAATTCATTGAACGAATCAAAATAAATTTGTTGAGCAATATTATTCACAAGAGAATTAATTAATTCTTCATTGGAACTAGTATTATGTGTTAATGATCGAAATATTGATTGTGAATTATATCGATTTTGATTGAATAAACTTGTTTCTTCTTGTTCATTATATTCTAATTGTATTGAATTTTTCTTTATTTTTCGGAAATACTTTTCATTATCATCTAACGTTGTTCTAGAATATATTTCATTATTTGCAATAGTTGATAAAGCATTGGTTATAATATATTCAGTAAAACGATTTGAGAAATGTTCAATATCGTATGAAGAAATTTTTTCTATTGCTTGTTCAATAGTTGAATGAATAAATTGATTAATATATGAATTTATATCTTGAAGAATTTCCATAGATACATAGGATGAAGAACATTGTGAAAGTTCATTTCTGTTAGTTAAATTTTGATAATCAATCTATTTAAAAATAAAAAAAACATTAAGAAATATTTCCAAATAAGAAAAAAATATAATGAGTATTATTTAAGCATACCTGAAGCAAAGCAATTTGAATAGTATGTTCAACAAATTGATTGGCAAAATTTTGTTTATCAATTAAATTATGTTGTTGTTTATTGATTTTGGTTAAGCAAGGTTTATTAAGACTGAATGAATATTGTACATCAAAAGGTCTATTCGATCTAGTACTACTTGTAGTTCGTGATATTCGACATCGAGTTTGATTTGTTTGTTGATAAGATAATAGACGTGTTTGATAATGAACAAAATCATTTTTTGTTGCCGGTAAAGAACAACGTGGAATAGTATGATGAAATGATACTTTACGATTATTTCTATTATTACTTGATGATCGACATCGTAATAGAATATTTGATTTTAATGTTCGATTTTCGGAAGAATTTTGATATATTATTGAAGATATTTCTGTTAAATAATTCAATGCATTAGAAATTGCTTGTTGAACTTGTTTATTTGCTAAATTCAATACTTCTTGTTCCATCTAGAAATAAAAAAAGAAAAAGAAACAAATCCAACTTGATTATAGGGTTTTTTTTTGTTTCATCAAAATTAATTTGAAGTTTTATTAGTTAATTCAATTAAACGTTGTAATCTATCTTGTTGTTTAAGTTGTTCAATCATATTATGTAAATAATGAGTTCCATCAAGAAATTCACTAACATTATGAACATTTTCACTAAGACGTTCATCTGTTATACGATTTTGTGGTATATTATATGTTCGAATTTTTTCATTTCGATTTCCACTACCAGTTTGTTGTTTACGTGTTTGAAATAATCGTTCTTGTTGTTCATCATATTGCATTTGATAAAGTCTTGATATAAAATAAATAAATAAATAAATATAATAATTAATTAAAAAACAATTCATACTTATTTTTCATTGCTTTAATAGCAAGATTTTTATTTAAATTAAAAAAACGTTCATCTTGTCGTTCAAGAACAATACCTATATATATATATATATTAAATTATATTTAATTAATATGAAAATGATTTTCTTTTTTACCAGTTGGTAAATGTGTTAAACGACAACCTGATTCACTTTTATTTACATGTTGACCACCTGGACCTCTTGCACGTATAGGTTCAGCTAATAAATCTCTAGTAGGAAGTTCGATTTTAATCTATAACAAGATTAAATCAAAAAATAACTTAAAACATAAATTATTCGAATAAATCTTTTATATACATCTTTCGGTTGTGGTAAAACAGCAACCATAACTGTACTTGTATGAATTCGTCCACTTTTTTCTGTTTGTGGAACACGTTGTACTCGATGTACTCCACATTCATATTTTAAACTTTTAAATACATCTAAACCATTTACAAATGCTTTTCCTTGACGAAGACCACCTTTAATAATAAAAAAAAAAACTTATCACCATTTATTGTATATAGATTCAAGTTTTTCGTTTTTTTTTTTATTTATACCAATATCAGTTTTATCATATTCAACTATTTCAAAAGACCATTTTCGAAAATTAGCATAATTTGTATACATTTGAAATAATTCTTTAGCAAATAACATTGCTTCTTGACCACCAACACCAGCTGAAACTTCAAGTTCAGCATCATCATTATCAGCAGATACTTCTGGTAAAATACGATCTATAATCTAAGAATAATAAATAAAAAAAAGAAATTTGAATTTATTATATTATTCACTTCATTATCAATTATATTTAAATTTGTTTGTAAACGAATAATTTCATCCATAGCCATTTGTGAAATATCATCATCATTATGTTCTATAGAAAAACTATAAAATGAACTTTCAGAATATATTTTTATTTTTATTTTTTTGAAAAACATAATTTCTTTCTTGTGACTCAATGTTAAGTAAATACTTCAAAAAAATAAAAGAGAAAAAAACAAAATGTTTGGTAGAAATCAAATAATTAATAGAACGAATATTTTAATCAAATATTATATGAACTATAATTTAATACTTCATTCGAATAAAATAATATTTCATATAAATTAAATTGATCTATACATATTTTAATAGAAATATATAACAAATACAAACAAAAAATATTTGTACGTAATTCAATTTTTTTTTTTTTGTTGCTTCAAATAGAAATTCCCTTAAGACAATAATCAGAGTTTAGATTTTTTCATGTGACTGTATGTAAAAGTTAAAAATTCTACTAATAACTTTCAAAATTTATTATATGACTATATTTCAGTATAGTTTTATTAACTACTGATTTCTATCAATATTAATAATAATCATAATTATAATAATTAAATAAAAATATTATTTTAGAACATGATTATAGATATGACATGTACTATAAGAATAATGTCAATTTATATACTTCACTACATTAGAAAATTGAAGATGATAGATATTTTCTTAGTTGTCAAATTTTATTTATATCAATTAATATATATTATTAAGACATTTTCTTATGTCAAAATAATAAGATATTTATAAAGTTATCATAACCTTTCGATTTGTTTTACCATTAGAAAGTTTTTTTGTTTCATTAATATCTTGAAGAATATTTTCATGTAATTTCATTTTTTGTAATATTATTTTAAGATATTGAATTCTTTCAATTGTATTTTCATTTTCATTTATTTTTAATTGTTCAAATTCTTTTTTATAATTTATTGATAAACGTTTTATAACATTATCAATAATTGTATTATTATTATTATTATTATTATTTGTTGTTAATGTTCGTCGAGAAAATATTATATATGATAAACGTTTTAAATAAATATTCCACATTTTCTAGAATATAATATTAAATAAATATGTCAAATAACTTTTATTTATCTTGAACATAATACATTTTTATTCATTATTATATCATGTATTAAAAGCAAAAACAAAAACGATTGAACAATTATTATAAAAGAAAATAAATAAATAAATATACAAAGACATTAATTAATGCACGTTACTGACTACAAAAATTAGAATGCACATTCTTATATATTTCACAATTTTTGAAGAAGAAAAACAATAATCAAAAATTGTTTGCTTAAAAAAATTAAGAACAAAAGATAAAACCAGATCATTTCTTTGAAGGCATCTGTTAAACATGACATACTGCACAATCAGAGAAGAAAAAAAAAACCAAAAAAAAACCATTAATACATGATCAATTTGAATTGAAAGTCACATTTACACATACATTTAAAATGAAAAAAAAAACAAACAAAACGAAAGTCATCCATCTGACGAACATCCATGTCTCTCCATTCGAGAATACCAATACATGAGATTCTTTGATGAATAATATTATACTGTACAAGATCAAAGAAAATCTATTACCAAGCATCCGTATATCGTATATCGCATTCTTGTAAAGCAGGTAATTTTTCCTAAAACAAAAATAATTTCATTTTTATTTTAAAATTATATATAATTAAATATACTTTTAAAGCTTCAAATGTTACTGGAGATAAATGTGTAGAATTTAAATTAAGTTTTCTTAACATTTTCATACCTACAAAAAAAAGACAATGAATAAAACAAAAAAATAGATAAGGATTATCAACTTACAAGATAAATAATTTAAACCTTTATCTGTTACTTGTGTTTCACATAAATTAAGTACTTGTAAACGATTTAAATGTTCAGAAATTAATTCTAAACCAGCATCACCAAACTAAAAATAATAAAATAAATCATTTTGTTTTATTTAAAATTTATTTACTTGTGTTGACCATAAATTTAAATATCGAAGTGCTGGTAATTTAATTAATTGTTCAGCACAAGCACTTGTTACATTTGTAAATGCTAAACTTAAACATTCAAGATTACCAAATGAACCACTTGATAATAATTTTGCTAGATCATTATCTGTTGAACGTGATGGTAATGTTAATTTTTTTGGTCCACCTTTTTGTTGTAATTCTCTTAATGCTATTTGTCTATCACATACTTTTGCATATAATTTTAAACCAGTTGATGTTGATTGTAATGTTGATATTAATTGTAATTTATTATCACGATTTTCAATAGCATCTAAATCAAGCATAGCACATAGAGTCTAAAAAAAAATAAATATTATTTATTAAAAATAAAAATTTAATTAATTTTTTACTTCTAATGAACTTTGATTTTCACGTAATGCAAGTAACATTAATGCTGGTAATAATTTATTAATACTTAATAAAAATCGTTTTTTTCGACAACAACATGAAATTAATTTACTAAGCTAAAATATGAAAAAAAAATAATGTTTTTTATTTTTGAAATTTAATTAAACATACAATAAGAGAAAACATTTCACCATCATCATCACATGCAATACTACCCAAACAAAACATTTCAAGCCATCCTTCTTTTCCTTCACGAATACCTAATACTGTTTGATGAATTTCACATCGAGAATCATCAACAAGATTTTTAACAACATTTTTAAATATTCTATTCAAAAAAAAGAAAAAAATATAATTTTTTGAGAAAATTTTCTTTGATTAATAAAATTACTCTATAAAACGATCATGTGTTAATGCTTCATCAGGAAATGGAATTGATTGAAGAAGTAAACCAAGTTGTGGTCTCCAATCGTCAAATGTAGACCTAAACAAGTATCAAATCGTAGACGACAAATGTAATTAAAATGAAGAATATACTTAAAGTTCTCTTTTTTTGTTTTTATATCATGAACATTAATTAATAGATATACTACGTGCTCAAGCAGAATAATAGAATTATTAGTGTGTAATGATCCTTTCATATAGAAGTAATAAATAGAAACAAGTCCATATAGCAAAATGTCTATCTTTAATTCTATATTAGACTTATATAAGATAGGAAGAAGAAAAAAGAAAATCTTATTGTAAGCCTAAAGCAATTATTAATCAAGTTACAGAAAAATTTTTAATCAAGTATTACTTATCTAATCTTATTATATTTATGAATGAATTATTTCAATTTCATAGTTAGATAGATAAATATTCAGGATGTAGCTGAAGTATGAAAAAAAAAAAATCATGACTTTTAAAATTTAATGACTAATTAGTTGAGTGTATCAAAAAAAAACTCAAGTCAACTTGACCTAAGTATAAAAATCAAATGTAAGATACGGACATTTTGAAATTAGCTAGAATAGAACTTTAAATTTATGAAATATTCATGTTTATCATTCTATACTCATTTAAAATATCAAAAGTTTCTTCTGATGTTCGAATTTGTAAATTTTATTATAAGATCTTACATAGTTTGTAACATTGTTGTATAACATACTAATTGACTGTCAGCTTCTTCTTCATATGCTCGATAACTCTCTTTATCTTCAAATCGAAAACTAAAGCATAAAAAGATAGCATTGTGAATAATTTTAAATAAAATAAAATCAAAGACAAAAGTCTTTTTTTTTGCCATTTTCTCTTACTTTTTACGATCTTCAAAAAAATTATAAATAGCTGCAAGACAAACAGAAACAAAATTTGATAAAACACGTGGAAATGGACAGATCATTGTTGGACCATGTATTCTGAATATAAATTATATTTTATTTACTAATTTTTTCAAATAAATATGTTGTTTTTGAAATTTACCTTTTAATAAAATCTTGTACAACACGTAAACCATCATTTTGTGAATTAAGTGCATGTAAATATTCTTGAATAAATATACGCATTCGAGGATATTTACCAAAATCCTTTCAATTAATTTTCTTAATTTTAAATATTTAAAAAAAGAAAAAACAACTAAAACTTACAGTATTATGTTTTAAGATTCTTTGAACAACAGGTGTAAACATTTCAATAACAATTTGTGAACGAGGACTATCACGACAATGCTAAATTAAATAAATATATAAACAAAAACTATTTTCTTTTGCTAATGAATTTTACTCGAGTAAAAAAATCACATATTTCTGGTGATGGATAATTTTTTTCAAGTAATGGTGCTAATGATACAATTACATTTTCATGAACAAATCGTGGTAAATTAAATTGTTGCTAGAAAAATAAAATCAAAGACAATTTTAAAAAAAATGATTAAAGGACATATATGTGTGAAAATTTTTTTTTTTTACTTGTTGAAGAATTTCAGAAATAATTTCAAGTGGAAATTGATGAATTTCAACATCTTCAATTGGTATTGTCATTGCAAAATCAATCATATGCTAAAAAATTTATTTTATTTTAAAATAAAATGCAAAACAAAAAAAAAAATTGTAATAAATTTTACTGTCATTTCTTTTAATAATATTTCAGGACGATTTGCTAATCGTAAAGTTCGTTCAAATTTTAATTTATTTCTCTAAAATTTTTAGAAACACAAGGAAAAAAAAACTATATACGAATGATTTTATTAAACATACTTTCCATTGAATTGAATAGAACCATTGATCTCTTAAATAGAGTGTACCAACCTTAACACAAAAAAGAAGTTATTTATTATCAATTTAATTTTGAATACAAATGAATTTTTTTACTTGAAAAAAATAAATACATTCATTTGTAACAATACGAATACAAAAACGATATTTTGAATCAATCATTTTAGTTTTTGCCCATGGACATATATCTTCTATGGATGTATAAAGTATAGGTCGATCCATATAACCTTCATGCTAGAAAAAAAAAACCAACCATATATTTTTAATAAATATTAATTAAAAAAACAAAACGAACTGTATTGGATGATATATCATTATGTTCAAGAGTAAGATGATGATCTTCCCAACGACGAAGAAAACGAGAAAAACGAATTTTTTCAATTATATTTCTTGCATGAGGAACACGACAAACTTGCATAAGACCATCAGTTAATAATTTATAACGTTGTTGAATAGGACGACCATCTATAAACATGCAAAGTGTACTAGATGTTGTTGGATTAGTAGTAGAATTAGTTGCAACAGTCGTTGAAACATTTGATGGTGGTGCAAGAGATATATTATCATCTTGACTTAACGAATAATAAGCATTGCATGTATCAACAGGATTCAATAATAATGAATTCGATGTAGATCCTAATCGATCTCCCATTGAATTTATTATAATTTGTCAAAAGAAAAAATAACTAATATAAATTTTTGAAATAAATTTCTATTGTTAATTTCGATTTATTCTACATAGAATTTATCTAAACAAAAAATAGACCAATAAAAATATAATAATATTGAAAAGAAAAACACAATGATCTATTCAGGAAACATTTTTCTCTATATTACTAGTCATCAATGTATCAAAATGCTTTTTACTATTCAACGAATTTTACATTTATCTTCTACTTATATAAATTAAACTATAAAAAAAGACTTATGACATGTAATAAAAAGAAGAATACTAAGAAAATAATCTATGTTTCAAAATAATAATGTCTAGTAAAGAACAAGTAAAAACTATCGAACCCATAATAACATTTGCATTTTATCATAATTATTAGTTATCAATAGAAATTTTAGTAAATTGATGTTGACAAAGTTTCATCAATAACAAGAAAAAGATATAGTTGTACAACATTTTTTTTTTCATATTCGAAATATTTCTCATATAGACTTACATTGAAAAGAATATCAAATGAACTTTTTCTTTTTGATTTTTGATTCAATATAAACTAGTCAATATATATACTATCCTATATTAAAAAGAAAGAATGAGAAGACAGACACACAGCACGACTATTTATGATAATACAAAGCGAAGAGTAGTATATGAGAAGAAAGAAAAAAGAAGGAGATGATGTCAACTACATTGGTCCAGTCTAGCTTCTTTTTTTTTTCAAAAATATAGAAGCAATTGCTTTGGAAAAAGGAAAAAGAAAAAGAAAGAAAAAAAAAGAAATGCCATCAACAATAATGACGACTATCAAACAAAAAACCGAGTTCTCTAGATGCGCACATACACATTAACACAACGGCAACGAACAGCCAAAGAAAACAGTCACTATACATCGACCGAATGAGAAGAAAAAAAAAGAGAGAGCGAGAGCAAGACAGACTAACTATTTGTGTCTATTGCATCGATAACAAAATCTCTTGTCATAGTCAAACTCTATCATTATGTATTCTAAGCATGCATTAATTTTTTTCTTTTATTTGTCCTGGAAAAAAATGGGTCACCAACATATTTTTTTCAAGTACTGCACTCAATTAACATAATATATACTCAGGTCTTTTTGTCTTAATTTACATACAACAAAAAACAAAAAATGAAGCTATCTATCTTCATGTGTAGGCGTCCCTATAGAAACATTGATAAATGGTAAACATTACTCATCATTTATGTGATATTTTTGCATATTGTTCTATTTATATACGTTTCTTGTCAATTAAGAAAAGAATTAGATTTCTATGGATCAGTTTTTTTTTTTGGTTATTGTTTTACATAAAACAAACGGAATTATAAAGAAGAACAAAATATCAGTAAATTTTATCATTCGCATCGATTACTATGACAGAGATGATTAACGTTAGTCGATGTTTGTCACTTTTGTTATTTGATATTATCCAACATCATTTACATACATATGTATTAAAGCTATTCATAATATAATCTAAAATAAACAAAAAAAATCTAGATTAATTCTATCAGGATAATTTTTTTCTTTTTACCATATGGATATACAAACAAGACAAAATACTAATGCGTCGCATATATACAAAGACATATAAATAAATATATTTTTGTGTAAAAACAAAGAAACAACATTATTTTTTTCTCATAAATTATATCATAAATAGTTGGCTCTTTGGACATCGACATCAAATCTAACAAAAATAACAGCATGAAGTTATTATTCAAGGTTTTACATCAAGGTCAATATGACTTGTTTGTTGCTGTATACATATACTGTTCATAAGCCTAGATAACAAAAAAAAACAAAATTTTTTTTGAAATATTAAACAAAATTTCTTATGAGAATTTACCTTTCATTCTAAAAATAGATAAGAAACATTCTAGTGTAGTAAGTATAAGTGCTATTAAGATGTCTACAATACGTGATAAAATTAGAAATTACATTGTTTTCTTTTCATTCAATAATTGGATTATGGATAATAATACATCTATATTTATAATATTATTTATCTTTGTTGTACTGATTGTCCCTTTCATACAACTTTAAATTACAATTGTGTTTTCTTTTAATAGAATCTTTGTGTTTGGAAAATTGTTTTTTTCTTTTTTTTAAGACCTTTGTAATACCGACGGTACTCATATAGTAATGAATAATAAATTGAGCTTTATTGATAAAAATATCATTAACAGTAATAATTATTATTATATGGATCTGTTAGAATTTTCAAAAATTTCTCGAATCAAATCAATATATCTATAATATAGACGAATAGAAATAAATCATAAAACAAAATTTTATATATATATATATATATTTTTTAAAGTCAACAATTAAATCGGATATTGAATATGATGACTAGTTTGTTTTGTCAATATAATTTCTAACAACTCAACATGAAATAGTAACATAGCCAAGGGTAAAATAGACTAAGCGCCGTCCTATTATCAGAAGAAACAAAAAAAATGTAATAATTATTATCATTGACAGTATATTTTACAGATTTCTCCTAAAATGATAGTACTTTGTCCTACTATCTATGATCTTCTTATCACGCTACTACTATGGATTAAAATGTAAATATTGATAGTTTCTTTTTTTTTGGATTCATCTAATCTTATAACGTTTAAAATATATGTATATAATATGTCATAACTACCATAAGATTAAATGATGATAATCATAAACATAAATCGTTTAATAAGAAAATTCGATTTAAATTAAATACTATTGTTGTTAGATGATATAAAATATGTATGTTTATGATTATGTAATGATTTCTTATGAAAATAATTAAATTTAACTAATGATTGAAACTTTTGTATATTTCAAATCATTTTAAATAATCTAATATTAATATTTATTGTTGTCCTTTTTGCTTGTTAATGATGAAATGAATTTTGATTAACATATTGTCAATTTATTTTATTATTCTATACATATTCAATTATAAATTAATATTCGTTTTTGTTTTGTCTCTATATTCACATTTGTTTTATTGAATATTAAATAAGTATTATGGTATTTAATATTAATATCTGTTTTCAATGATAATATTTCAATAAATTGACAATAATTCTTTTTTATTATAATTGCAAAAAAAAAATAGATAATTTATTTCTATAAATAAAATATATAAGATATTTTACGTGTTAAATTATATAAAAAGTATTCTTACCATTAGATTTGATTATTAATTTACTGATGAATATGAATAATAGTCGATATGCAAAACATTTGACTAGGGAACAATATGTTAACGTAATGTATTAGCATGGGCTTATATTCGAAGAATAACATAATTTAATTTACTCAATTGCTTTTTTCAAAATTTATCAAAATAATTTCATATGTTTTTCAATGAATATATAATAACAAAAATTCGAAAGAAAAATTCAGTGTGTTAAATTTGTTACATATTCATTGAGAAAACATTTTCTAAGAAATTTCATTAATATTTTATGTTTCAAAAAATTCTATCAACTTTTTTTTGTTTTCTAATTTTCATTATTTTATTTTTTCTCATCTAGTTGTCGTTCAAAAACATACTTAATTACAACAAAGAAAATTCTCATTTACTCTACTTTTCCATTTTATAGCACAAAAAAACATTTCTATAATATTTCAAATGAATAAAAAAAACTAAATTCTTAATTTGATCAATGGAATATTTCTTTTTTTTTTATTTTAATTTTTTTGTGTTCTAATACAGAAAACGAAATCAACAAAGAGAAAATTGAATTATTTATAATAAATTATAACATGCAACTTGTTTTATTAATCAAAATTAATTTGACAGAACATATTCTTCTCATCAATAAAAAAAAATCGAATAAGAATAATTCTTGTCGCCTGCAAACTAAAACCGATTAGTTTCTTTTTTTTTTTTTTCTTCATTATTCAGAAAACAAAGAACGAAATTAGATTTCTCAAACGTTGAGTTTATTTTTATTTTTTATATTGGCTTAAATGACATATTTGACATATAGCATATTAGTCGATGATAATTGATTATACTCAGTTAACATTGAAAATGGTCTCTTTCTCAAATTGAATAGTTTTATATTATCTTATTAATAAACAATTTCGAGTTCCTATATTTAAATATTATAACTAATTTAATTATTTCTAAATGATAATAACTATTAATCTAGAATAAAATCTTTATTCTACGAAATTTTATATGCAAATCTGACCTTTAATCTTTAGGTTTTATCTCATTATCAGAATAAAAGATTTATCAATGTCATGTCTCGTTGAAAATCTGTCTTAGACCAGATGTATTTAAATTACATGATATTTGCAATTCTATATTATGATTTCTTCAAGATGTGTATCCAACTAACGAAGATCACAAAAAAATTCATGTACCGAACTGAAATTCTTTATGGATCTTCATACTATAGATTTAATATTGTTTTTAGTTAAAAGAAGAATATGTCAAATTATAGTGCTTATTTTTTGTATTTCGAAGAAGGATGACAAATTCAATATCTCGAAAAATCCTTAGAAAAAAAAGAACCTAGACATCTATTTATAGAAGTACTTCTTTTTTATAAAATGATAATAAAGCAAAATTAAGTTCTGCTAAGTACTGTCATTTTTTATGTGTCTTTCAAGCAAAAACACAATTATTTATAATAAAGTTCCATTGAGAATTTTAGAATGTAAGAATATTTGTCAAACAGAATGTAATGGAAATGACAAAAACAAAATGCCAAATAAAAAATGATGTCGTTTATAAAAAGATTAGATCTAGGGTGATATATTCCCATGTATTTATGTTCATTTCGATTTTTTTTTTGACAAAAAATTGACTTTCTTTTGAACGAAGAATGACTTAATGATTTATGCATGTACCGAAGGGGAGCTATGGGGATTCCCCCTCAGGACTGAAAACGCCTGTAGGGGGTACAGGTAGACGTTTTTTCCCCAGTGAATTTTTTAATTTTCCCATGGTGGAGACCCC